ACTGTTGGTTAGCATGTAGGTAATTAGTAAGATGAGACTATGGTCAACACCTTCCTGTAATAGGGCAACATCATGGAACCAGTCATTGCAAGTGTAGACATGAATAGCCATTACCCTGGAAGAAATTATAAATGACTGTTGACATTTAAGGGTTCTCTGAGGTTCACATTAAAACCTTGCAGATTTTGCAATAAGTGGTTAAGTAATGGCTGTTTGGCACCCACAAAAGGCATGGAGGTGAGTACGGCTTCCCAGGCGACATGGAAGTATGGAACTAGTTATTCATTTGTAGCCATAGTTACAATATCCCTGTATCCCTGCCAATATTTCATTTAGTAGAAATCATCTTAGAATTAACCCTATAAACATCAACAACTATATCTTTTTAACAATCTACCAATTATTATGTATACTTCATTCAAAATGATTACCTTCCAAACAAACAAGCAAACAACCAACCTTCACTATTGTCTTTAAAATTTTCACCTTTTTATTTAGTTTCTCGTAAACATACAATAATTCTTCTTCTTCAATCATAATTGTACGACTTAGCCAAAGCTTGCCCTTTTTTAATTACAATTAGGTTAGGATAAGCATTAATTGTGGAGTCATTCTAGCCAACCTTGGCTGCTTCTTACCATAAAGCTTAGTTGGTGTGTATAACCTACAAGTGAAAACCTAGCCAAACTTCGGCAACTTCCCACCATTATCAAGTTTGGTAAAGATGCAGTGATTTGGAAATCTCATACAACAACAACAACAAACAACAACATCAAGCATTTATCCTACAACATGGGATCGACTACATGAATCATTTTTATCTATTATGTCATACTAAGAATAAAATTCTCATTTAAATCTAATAAAGGAATATCATTTCTAATACTTTCTAACAAAATCTTTTTAGGTGGTCTATCTCTACTTTTCTTAACATAGGCCAGATCTAATATATATACTTTCCTCACCGATTTGTCAAAAGGCTTACTTTTTTTTTGTGACAAAACCATCTAAGGCAGCTCTCTAATCTTATCTGCCACTAGAGTTACTCAAAATCGTTTCACGTACATACTCGTTTCGTGATCTATCTCTAAGATTAAAGCCACTCATCCACCTAAGCACCCTCATCTATGCAACACTTAACTTAATTTTATGCTTCTCTTTTAATGGCGAACATTTTGCACCATAAAGCATTACAGGTCTTACGACCATCTTATAGAATTTTCGCTTAAGTTTGAGGGGTTTCTATCACACAACAGGCCCGATGCATTCCTCTACTTCAACCATCCAACTTGAATTCTAAAAACAATATCTCCATTTATGTCACCAACACTTTGAACAATATACCCAAGATATCTAAAACATGTATTCTTTTTAATGACTTGATCGCCCAAAGTCACACTCCCCCCAGTAGATCTATTACTACTAAAATTACACTCCATATATTTGGTTTTAGATCTACTCAAACAAAAACTTTTAAACTCTAAGGTTAACCTCCATAATTCAAGTTTCCTTCAACTCCCTCTCTAGGCTTAACAACAAGAAGAATATCATCAGCAAAAAATATACACCAAGGTTCAACCTCTTGCAAATGTCTAGTAAGAACATCCATAATTAAAGCAAAAATATATGGTCTTAAAAATGATCCTCACTGTAATCTAACTGAAATAGGAAAATACTTGGTCAAACCACCTTGTGTTTGAATACAAGTAATAGCTTCTACATATATATCCTTATTGACTTGAATATAAGCATTATTAACTCCTTTCTTTTCTAGAACTCTCTAAAGCACTTCTCTTGAAACTTTATCACATGCTTTCTCTAAATCAATAAATATCATAATTAGATCCTTATTATTCTCTCTATACTTTTCCATCAAACCTTTTAATAAATGTATAGCTTCCATAGTAGACCCCTCGGCATGAATCCAAATTAATTTTCAAAAATATTAGTATCACGTCGTAACTTATGCTCAAATACTCTCTCCCATAATTTTAATGCATGACACATTAACTTAATTCCTCTATAATTTGCACTCTTGTGCATCATCTTTATTTTTAAAAATAGGAACCAACAAACTCTTTCTCCACTCATCTAGCATCTTTTTAGTCATCAAAATAATATTGAAAATTTTAATAAGCAAAGAAATTCCTACATCTCCTAAGCATTTACACACCTTTTTTTGAATATCATCAGATCCAATTTCTTTTCCACACTTCATTTTCTTTAAAGCCCCTCTAACTTTGGTTTTACTAATATGACGATAGAAACGATTTGAAAATGTCATTAAAAAACATTAAATTTGCACTCAATTTAAGGATTTTAATATATGATTTGAAATTTAAAGTTAATCAAACATTATCAGTCAACCTTTCTCATCAAGACTTAAGATTGATAAAATTTTTTTTGCATAGATAACATCCTACCCAAGCTTTGCCTGCTTCTCACCACAATTGGTAAATGATCATGCACATTGTTGAATCCAAATTTGTCAGTAGACAACACAAAAAATTTTACTTATAAGACTCACAAGGCACACCGAGAAAATACTAGGGATAGAAAATATAGAAAAAAAAATTAGAGTGAGAAGCTCTAGGATTTTATTAGATTGCCAAAAGTAAATACTTCATAATAACTTGATGTGGCAAAGCTTCCTCTTGATCCTCTATTTATAGGTTCAAGCCAGGATTTGTTGTTACGGGAAAAAGATATACAAAAATGAAAATACTAACCAAGCTTTTTACTATTAAACATATAAGGAGTGTATCCTAAAATACAATGTGCTGCATGAATAATTTATTCAGTTGTCATTAGTTGAAGTCACCAACTTGATGGATGAAGTGGCCAACTTGATGAATGAAATTTCCAATGTGCTGCATGAAGTAGCCAACATATTAGATGAATCCATTAACTTGTCAGATGAAGTTTCTGAGTTGTTCGAATGAATGTGAACAAGTACCTTGTACGGTTGAATGAGTAGGCCTCTTTAGGCATTGGGTTGAATATATCCTAGAGAGTTTATTATGGGTTTTACAAGTTCATCATGATCTTTGCAAGTTCACAATGACCATGATGAGTTAACTATCTTTAGCCTTCTTGTTTTGCCAAGATGTCTTGAATTGGACCAACTTTTCTTGAACTTAGTCCTTGAGATATTTGAATCTACATGCATCACATTTGAGAAATCTTTCACTAGTAGCTATAACATTTTACTAGGTTGGAGCACTGTAACTCTAGTTAATCTTCTTTAGTCTCTCCTTACGAAATATAACATCATAAGTGACCTAGTAAAACATTCTTGCTGATATATATATAAGTAACTTAAAGAGTTCATATGAGTAGATACAGCTATTACAAGAAGGGGACATTACCAAGTAGCTTTGAATTAAGTATATTATCGTAGAGATATACCAAATGTAGGTGAACAAAACAAAGGATTACTCTTTCTTTTGCTATGCCTTTTCAAAACATGGCAAATCGCAAGCAAGGTTTAAATTATGCAATTGGATATTGAGGCATTTTTCATTCGTGAGTTGAGACGTACGCCTCAAAACAAAAAATTGAATAAAGTGAAAATAAAAGTTAAAAGTGATTTTTATATAATACCAAAATAATATATTAAAAAATGACATTAACTTTCTATTAAACAATGAAGTAACAAATTGTCATATATATAAAATAAAAAATTGCACAAGACATAAAGTGATAAAATGCATGAAATATAATTGAAATCAAAATATTAATAGGGAAAAATAACATAAAATAAATAAATTAAAGTATCATATAACATTAAATTAAACTTCAAACTCTTTCTTTCTCAAGTCCCTACTTATCCACATTTCATTCCTAAAGAAAACTAAAATAGTTGACTACAATTCAAAAATCATCTGCATTATCATCATTGAGGAAATTTTTTATTTGAGTCATCGTCATAAAAAATTGATCTACCTCTGTCTCATCATGTGGAGTCCAATGCCTCACAATCAGCTTCTTCATTTATTTTAGTCATATTCCTCTTTCATAAATATTTGTCATCAATATAAAGATGAAAGTAATACTCAAAGAATTTTAGAGGAAGGGATGGTAGTGGTGTGCGGCTTCTAAGTGATCCCCATCGATGTCCACAACGATGGTTGCTATGGCAGAGGTGGTGGCCTGGAGGTCGAGGCATGCAAGAGATAGTTGTTGCAGCTCGGAGGTGCATGAAGGTGTGATTTGTTCGGGACTTTAGTTTAGGATTTATATAAGTTTTAATAAAAAACATATAAATAGAGTGAGGCGTACACTACACACTAGCGAGACAAGGAGTGTCTTAGTTTGGTTAAGGCGCATGCCTCATAAAAAAAGTTCGAGTCGTAAGCCTCAAGGCGTTTTCACCGAAATTGGACTGAGACAAGCCTCGTATTACACAATTTTAAACAATGATTGCAAGTATGATGTGTGCCAAACTTTCAGCAAAATGTTATGCATTTTGCTTTTAAACCCTCTATGGTTTCACATTACAGATATATTATATTTCGTGCGGCAAGGCACAAAACAATAGTATAAGAAATTACTCAATGAAGCAAAAAATACTACCGGATGGACTTCCAGGAAAGCTGCTACTTAGTTTTCAATGCACCTAAAGGAACACTTCATTGAGCTCCAGCAATAGGCAGAAAGAATCAATCCACAGAGGGTCCATAAGAGCATAGTATGTTCATTCCATCAAAATTAGAATTTTTTTTATTGATGATCCAAACATACAAAGCAGTATGGTTTACTGATGAATGTGTTTCAATTGATTCACAAAAATAAAACTATAAGATAAATTACAACATATTCCCAAAATGCACAAACTAGAAGACACGAGCAATCAAAAACGATGCGCTGTTGAAAACGTGACATTCAATTTAAAGAAGGCAAACATAAATGATGACATATCATCAGAAATAAGAAAGGGAAGGATGAAAGCTGGAATAAGAAAATTAAGTAACATTTGAAAGTCGGATAGAATAACCTACCATAAGGGGGAGCAGGTCGAGGTCGGCCTAATGAAGCTAAATTGCAGTTAGCTCTTCGTCCATCTATGATCGGGCTCGGATTGGCACATGCCCTGCTTGCAGATTCTGGATGTCGAAATGTCACCTACATCCTCCACAAAAACCCATCATCAAAAGGAACAGTCAGCTGAAATCCCACACAAATAAAATAAAAGCTTAAAATGTTTCACCACTTTTGTGATAAAAAGTGGCCAGCTTTCACATGATCGTACAAAAGCATCGAAGAAACGACAAAGTAAGACTCACAAAACCATAGCCCTTCGACCTTCCAGTATTCTTATCCGAGATCACGACGGCCTCCAGAATATCGCCGAACTGCTCGAAGTGGCGCTGCAGCGTTTCGCTATGCGTCTCCCACGCCAAACCCCCAACAAAAACCTTCGTGTACGTCGTGTCGCCAAAAGGAGAATTGAAAAAATGGAATCCAGAGCTTGAGCTCGACCCCGAAACCGATCCCGACGCTGAAACAGGTACCGGCGGGCGGTAGGCCATAGATTCCCACTGCCCGGAAGAGAACCAATCCGAAAAACTAGAGATTCCGACTTTAATAGATACTACAACAAACGTAGCAACGATCAAGAAAATTGCTAATCAAAGTAAAAAAACCCTGGAAATCATCACGGAAAAGCGATTGTCGGTAAAACCCTAGCTTTCTAGCGTCGTGGGCAGAGTAGGATCCAAGAAGGAATGGGACTACTGTCATGAACAAACCACGGAAAATGACATCGATTCACTTCAAGTGGAGGAATTTTTATTGCGTCCTCCCTGACGCATCTTTACGTTCGAGATGACAGGGCCAAATAAGTTGTATAACAGGAGCAGAGGGCCCCACGAGGCTTATGAGCCAACCAGCCCCTACGAGCCATTATTATTACTATTATTTTCAAAAAATTTAAGTGATATTATAATTTTTTTTAAAAAATAAATATTTATATTATCCTATTTAAAATTTTATGGTTAGAAACAAAAGAATCCAACAAAAAAGTCAAATTGGGTAGCATATGTCTATCATATATTTCGATATCAACCTTGAAGTTTTGGCATAGGGCTATCAAGAATAAGTGATTACTATAAACTGATTAAAAATTATTTAATTTAATTATATTTAAATAAAAATTTAATGGATTTAATTTTAGATTATATGTTTATTTCTATGAGTAAAATTTGACTCAAAATTGAATTTTAAAAAATGTCAAACTTATGTGCTACCTTATAACTTAGATTGGTCCATTTTGAATTAACTAAAGAGTAAATTGATTTTTTAGTTTTAAAAAGAATTACATGCCATATAAACATATAGTAGGGCACATGTATGCTAGAGTTATGCAGACGACATTCTGGTCAGTGTTACAAGATGACTAGAGGTGCGAGTAGGTAGGGCACCCGGTAGTCGAGTTTCCATAGGTAGGATTGGATAGACGATCTGAGTCTCGATGAGAGAGTTATGTTAGACCAATAAGAAGACCAAGGGCAGTTCGACTTCATACATTTTTTTGAGGGACCATTTAGTAGAGGCAGTGGATCTGGTTATGTGGCAGGGAGGCCATCTGATAGCGGTTAGAAAGAGTCTGGTAGTTTTGTTACACCAGCTCCTATTCAGGCACTGTGTATAATATGACCTAGTAGGAGGCTCAAGACGCTCCAAATGTAGTTATAGGCACAACTTATATTTTTGATTATCTACGTCATATTTTATTCTATTTTGGAGTTTGTGATTCATTTATTTTTTAACATTTCTTTAATTTATTGCACCTACCTTCAATTTCACTATCATTTTCCCTTTTTATTGCATTACAAATTGGAGATGGTATGACAATCGATAGGGTCTATTTTTGTGACATTGAGGTTTCTAATAGAAAGTGGAGGTCTAATTTGATTTTATAAAAATAGGAATATTATGTAGTGCAATAAGCATCAATATAACATATATGGGGATATAGACATGATATAACATGTACATGAGACACATATATTATTAAAAATATAGGGCACATACACACTTTTGAAAAACATTTAAATTAATATATTTTAAAATTTAAAAGCACTACATATTAATTACACAAATTAAATAAAATATTAAATGAATATAAAAACTAAAATAATATGAGGATGTAAGAAAATATGATATTTAAGAATTTAAATTAATTTATAAAAAAGTACCTTATCATTCATAAATATTATGTTTCATAAAAATGAAAGAGAAATGAAAATTTACCCGAGAAAAATAAAGGAAGCGACATGTGATTTGCAAGCCTGTTGTGTCTATACACGAGGAATGTGAGGCTAATGTGGGCGCTAGCATTAAGGGGATGTGAATAAAAAAATTAAACTTGAGCATAACAAATTCTGAATTTAAGTATTTAAACTTGATCATTCAATGACACAATATCAAACATACTTATTTGATACTTTTTTGTTTTGTTTTGTTAAATTGGACACTAGAATAACAAGTATGATTCATATTAGAGGTGTTTCACACGTGTGTAAATTATGAAACATATTAAACATTATGTGCTATTTTATAATAACATGTTAGCGCGTCATAAGAGGAATCACATGCCACATTTCAAGTAGTAGTATAATATATGTAATTTTAGCTATTATATTCATTATATTTGAAGAGCAGTAGAATATAGGTGGTGAATACCATTGAAGCCTCAATTTGGAGGATCATGTGTGTAAGATGGAAGAACTTTAAATTCAAATCCTAAAATTTTTGGAGGAGGCTTGATAATAAAGCACCATCACATTATAATAGAGTTCTCTCATCCTAAAGTCAACAATAGTTTGAGTCCTATCAATTTGAAGCCACTCAGAGAGTATCTCCTCATGTTCCATTTCCCCCTCTACCATAGCCTCATCATATTTCTTAGACACTAACATTTCATCATTTCCTTCCCATGGTGCTCGACCAACCTATAATCCTACAACAACCATGAAAAATTCAACTTAACATCACATTATTGATGACTCTCATGATGTTAAGAGAGATGATATGACACCTTGTTCAGAAGAAAATCTATTTGAGAGAAAGAAATGAACTTATCCCTAAAACAAACTTTCAAGAGTCATTACCTTTAATTGATAAAAATCTGCAAAAATATATTCCAGTGGGATTTGTTGCCTATAATTGATATATATGATGAGACTTTTATTCCATATGTGAACATTAAATATTATAGAACCATCATGCATATTCAACTTGCTTATAGTGCAGTCTTTTGTAGTATCTTTCCTAAATAATTAACATATAAGTGCACACTTATTTTGGATATAATTATTTCTATTTTTTTTAACTAACTAGACCATTCATTAAACAATTCATCAGCAACTAAAGAATGATTAAGGGCTCCTCTCATCTTTTTAGAATTTTCTAAAATAAGGGAGAGACACCTAAAGAATTCTTTTGAAGATTCTCTTAAGAAGCATGCCATATAGTAGGAATGGATACAAAGTTACTATTAGGGGAATTTATGGGAGGTGGCCATCTTGAACCTTTTTATTCCTTATTGATATGAGAGATAGTATATTCTTATGATGATCTTATTCATTAAGTAGAAACACAAATAAATGCTACCAAATTATTTGAATAATTATCAAATAAATATAAATATTCACAATGAGAAATCATTCGAATTCATCAATATAAAAAGTAATAGTAGTCCAGAGACTACAAGCATTCCAAAACTAGACTCTGTCATCCAACCACACCCCATTAAATACATCCATAGCTAACATCTTGATAGAATTCAAAAATTCTAAACACCTTAAGCAATCAAAATCCTTAAAGAATCTAAACGATGGAGACCAGTCTCAATATTATAACTTACACAATGTATGGATGGGAAGCTAGAAGTGGACATGGTCCTCACTAAAATATCCATGTTGGCAATTGCCAGATAGGCTCCCCACTCAACATTCTTAGAAGGCACGACGATGAGGTCGCCTTGAAGGCAAGCTAGTGTTAAATAGGTCCTCGTTATAATGAGAAGAATAAGAGCAAGTAATTTATAGAGTCTTCACTCATAAAAATATCAAAAGACAAAATTCCCAAAAAGTATAATTCACCTAAATATTTTAGAATGCATAAGCTTTTTAAGGTATATGCACACCAAAAAACTCACAAATCATATGCCTCAGAAGGTACTTATATACAAAAAATCTAAGAAGGCATAAGGTGCATGAGGGATATGATCATCCAAATATATTAGAAGACTTAAGCAAAAAAAAAAAAGGTACATAACAATTTCAAAAGTTATAGGTTTCCCAAATTCTCTAAAAATCTTAGAAGGCTAAAATCCTCATATGATTTATATTTCTCCATTTTCTAAAATTTTAGAAGGCTAAAAACTTAAAATGGTATAAATATTTGTGACTCAAACAAAAAAAAAATGTCTGAAGGCATAAAACTTAGAGGATCTTTATCAACTAGAAAATAAATGTTATCATGTTCCTATTAGAGGGTAATATTTTTTTGTAAAACTTAAAGATTTTAGGTTTATCACAAATACATATACAAGACTTACTTTTTTTTGGGGTGCAAGTACTAAAAAATCACAATTACTCTTACATAAAGACAAAGAGTTCATTACTTCAAATTAATTTATTGTGAATATCATACAAGCTTATACATGAAGAAATTTTCATTTCAAAGTCACATATAAAATAACTAGACTTATGACACAATAAATCTCCAATCTCCTACTTCATGTTTCAACAAGCAATCTCTTTCCTCTTAAAATTTGTGGCAATGAAGCAAAAAATTACACATATGCAACAAATGATTATGGTGATTTTAATGCCAATGTTGGTACGTACTATCACTGACTTATGACACAATAAATCTCCAATCTCCTACATCAGGTTTCAACAAGCAATCTCTTTCCTCTCAAAATTTGTGGCAATGAAGCAAAAAATTACACATATGCAACAAATGATTATGGTGATTTTAATGCCAATGTTGGTACGTACTATCACCAATATTAGAATTAAACTTTAATATCAAGATAAAACTTGAACTCTACAAATTAAAATACTTTTAACAACATCATTTTAGCAACATAAGTGATGGAGTGATTTTTTTTTAAATTATTACATCTCTATTAGGAGATAATTTGAGCTTCAGAAGAGAATGATTTTCTTTTTTGGATTATAATTCCCATAAAAGGATGGTCATAGTTCCTCTATAAATATTGAAAAGCTTGGGTGTAAGTCACAACTCTATATGTGCGATGGTTCAGTACTCTTAATAGAGGTAACACTAGTGTGTGTAAGAGTGATACACACCACCTATTTAGGATAAATTTTATATGAGTCTTTGATGGGAGGATTACGTGTTACTTATACACTAGCATTCAACTATTTTTAAGATGTGGAAACAAAACTTATATTTAAAAAAAATGAGATATTTGGAATTTTTTCACAACTTCAAAGGAGAAATCATTACTTTTAGTGGAGCATTAGAGCATTTAAGTGAAATATGTATCGCTTATCTAAGACAATATTTTATTGGAGCCTATAAAGGGAGACTTACTCACCTTCTATATAAGATAGAAGAAAGATTGTCTTGAGAGAAATAACAGAAGCCCACAAAGAGAGAAGAAAATTTTATCCTCCACCACATTTATGAGGGTTTATTTATATTTGAAAGAGAGGGGAGATCATAAAAATGTAACTGGAAAAAAATCATAGGAAAATTTTGAAAAATAAAAAAAATCTTAATTAAAAAAAAAAATCCATTTTAAGAGGTGCTTCTAGCATCTTAA